GATGGAATTGTCCCAAGAGACATCAGGAGCAAATACGAAGAACTAATTTTCAAGTAAAGAACACTGAACACATTTTGAAATAACTAAGCATTCTAAATGAAACGAATTCTCATCTCGATTGAGTCAGGACTATCATGATTGAAAAGTGTAAAGACACTTCACATCACTGTGAATAAAACTAAAAAAAAATTTCATTCTCAAACATTTTAAAAATTTTACTGGAATAGATTTAATTAAAAAGTTTTCTTTTATTTTAGTTTCATTCATGGGAAGACATCGCATAGACGTATCTACGAAGTTATTGGACTGATTTATTGTAAAGTGTAACTATGATTCAATAAAGATTTTTCACTGTACCTGAAGGGATTTAAGTGTTAGTTTGCACGTCTTCGTCGCATGAAAATTGGAAAAAAAATGAAGCATCATCGTCAGGAGTACACAAGAGGAGTAATACGAAGAGGAGAAAATACGACGAATTACCTTCTCGCGTACGTGGATGTAAAACACAATAAATAACAAACATTTTTAAGCATTTAGAATGAACCAAATTCTCCTCTCCCTCCCAACAACTTAATTGACCCCCATTCATCCTTTTTTTCTGATTAACAATAGACATTCACGACAATACACTCTAATACCGAATGATTTCACTGTTCACAGGGTACGATTTCTACGACCCCCTCCGCTTCCCAGAGAACAGACACCCCAATCCCATGGAGGATCTCTTCCAGATCACCTCCTACCCTCCTAAATGTCGCCAAGGTAGACTATCGTCCCGGGGTGAAGGCAACCTAGGTAAACAGTTGCAGTACCACTGCCCCTGCGGCAAACAGTACAAATGGGCCGACAGCCTCAGAAGACACCAGCGAGTCGAGTGTGGCAACAAAGAGAAGAGATTTCAGTGTCACGTGTGCAAGAAAAAATTCAAATATAGATACGACCTCCGCAACCACTTGGTCACCCACAATTCTTATCAATAATTGACAGTAAAATTTTTTTAAAAACAAATAAAAATAAAATTCAATGATTAATGACGCAAACCTCTATCGCATCTCTCACTCACCCTCCTAAATCCCCCTGGTGATGTAATAATGGTGAATGGTAAATGGTTGAACTGATGTTGAACGATGAAGAATTAAAAGCCGAAGTAATGAGTTTAATGTGTCTGTCCTACTGTGTTGTCCTAACCACTCACGGATTGCGGTAAATAGTTGGATAAATTTTATGTGAAATGTCATTTTCTTATTTTCTAGAGTACGCCCGTTCATCGGTGAGTCCTATCGACTGGTTCTATCACTATCAGAGCATGTACCTGCGTTTGGTAGCTGAGAATCAGATGGGTGAAACTAACATTGGTATCAATGATTACGGTTACGACGAGAGACTTCATGCACAGGTAAATCCAAGACAGAGTCCTGGTGATAATCCAGTTAATTGCTCGTCACAACCGAGTAGTTATTACTGTCCAAAGTGTGGTAATGCCTACAGTCGTCCACATTCACTCAATCGACATATTAGATTTGAGTGCGGAGTTGAACCCCAGTTTGAGTGCCCCATTTGTCATAAAAAATCCAAACACAAGCATAATCTTGTTCTTCATATGCGCACTCATCAGAAATCTTAATGAGAACTCGAAAATATTTACTGCGATTTTTGTTACAAAAAATAATGCAGAGGGAGACAGAACAATTCCGATGTTATTTGTATCATTTCAAAGTTCACGGAATGATCTTCATGCGAATTAAAATTTTCGAATATTCCCTCTGCAAAAGTTGAACCATTTATCATTAAAAATAGTCGATTAAGCCTTATCTACGTTTAACTTTGTTATTCCGTCATTATCATAATCATTACCGCATTGAAATTACACGGAGAGAAGTTTTTTTGAAAATTCCAGGGCTTGGGGAGGAAAATGGAAGCTCAGTGGCAGCTAGGAAAAAATTCTTGGATTTTTCTCGTATTGATGTGAATTTTGATGTGGATACGTCTATGGTTTTAATGTGGGGTGTCATTTTGGGAAACGGTCCTTATGTGCAGTGCCATCTATCGGAACTCTAGAAAATTCTAGACATTTCTAGGTAATTCGAGAAGTTTCTAGACATTTCTAGGTAATTCGAGAAGTTTCTTGAAATTTCGAAGAAATTCAGGGAGTTCCCAGAAAATTCGAGGGAGTGTAAGGAGTTTCTAGGAATTTCGAGAAAGAAGGAAAGACCATGGACGTATCCACATACAATTACAGCTATGTTGAAGATACAGCTGCCTGCAATTTTTCTAGATTTTCTCTCTACGTAGACTAGTTCATCCAATTCATATGCGTTCCAAAGATTAAGAATAATCAAGAGTTTATATTCGTTTCTGATGTTTCTACTTGATGTTTTCGAGATGATTAAGTGTAAATCACTGCCATTACGATTGAAATTGCAGTGCCATACTCTCATAAAGAGTCACAAATCTACAAATATACAGTTCTACTTAGTTATTACAAAATAAGAGATAAGTTAACACATATCTGTGATGCGATGTAGCTCATGGCTGATCAAAAACTCAAACTAAAGAGGATAAACAAATATTTTTTGTTAATTATCATAAGTACCTAGCGCTAGGCAATGGAGCTAATTCCAATAGTCGTCTTTTGGAAACGAACAGTCTGATACATTACGAGAAATATATATATATATATATATGTTGGATACTTGATTGATGATTGTTACGGACAAAATGTATAATTTTCAAAATAAATACGAAACGTTCATATAAATAATGAGTACTCACCGTTGCAGCATGTCTCGATGTTTCAAGTATATTTCTCTTTGGGATAACTTTTCTGCATGCCTATTCGCCTTGTGGCCTCGTCCTCTCATCCTCTGACTCCTGGTGGTGGTGGAGACTCATGGGGAAGGGTTATTTATGTTTCAGTTAAGAATCCCGTACAGAGGGAGGAGGGCATGTTTAACTGTCCAAAATGTGGCAGATCTTACACTCACAAATGCAATTTGGCGAGGCACCTCAGGCTGGAGTGCGGAGTTGGACCGAAATTTCAGTGTTATCGGTGTGAGAGGAGATTCAAACATCGTCATCATCTTCAAGATCACGAGAAAACACACAAATGGGATTTTTTCCCGTATCCGAGCTAATTCTGGATTTTATTTTATTTTTTCTTTGTGAAACTGATGCTGTGGATTTTCCAGTCATTTCAATGCGATAATTAAATATTTTGTCATGTGCCAAAATTCATTATCACGTGATTATTCAATTTGTGAACCTATTCAACTCCATACACTCCCTGATACTCGTTAATGGTTTAATTGAATAGTTGAATTAACGAAATCATTGGGATTATTGAGCACAAATTCTAATTAATCATTAAATGATGACCCCAGTTGTTGACTATTCGAGGAAAAAAATCATGAGCATGAGATCAACTACTCCAAGGGACATAATTTCTTTGTTTTTTCGTCCTTGGACAACTGGTGAATCGGTTCTCAGCGAACGAACGGGGTAAATTGATGCCAATGCTGCTACATCATTGATTAATAGTATTAATTGCGACTTATTCACCTCGAGAATCATCATCACCACGTCCAGATGTCCATTAGAACCATAAACGGACATCAAGTGCCAGAATTCCTTTGTTCTCTCACTCCTCAACCACTCTCAAGTGCATTTTCCACAATAAAATCGCGTAAATTCACACAAATTCCACTTTACTGTTGATTATTAATATTAATTGTCACTTATTACCACCAAAAATCATGTTCATCAGGACCAAATGTCGATTTAAAACCGTAATATCCACCAGGGACCACAATTCCTTTGTTCTCAATAACATCAACAACTCTCAAGGGCATTGTCAACGAAAAAATCACACAAATTCCCCCGAACTTCACATCACCGTTAATTAATAACATTAATCCTCCTTTATTAACACCAAAAATCGTGTTCACTAGGTCTCTATGCCTATTGCAACCCGCAATAAGCATCAAGTGCCGAAATTCCTTTGTTCTCGCGACCTTCAAAAACTTGGGAATGCATTTTCGACGCCAAAATCGCGTAAATTCACATAAATTCCACTTCACTGTTGATTATTGAGATTAATTGTCCCTTATTTCCATCAAAAATCAAGTTCATCAGGACCAAATGTCGATTTAAAACCGTAATATCCACCAGGGACCACAATTCCTTTGTTCTCAATAACATCAACAACTCTCAAGGGCATTGTCAACGAAAAAATCACACAAATTCCCCCGAACTTCACATCACCGTTAATTAATAACATTAATCCTCCTTTATTAACACCAAAAATCGTGTTCACTAGGTCTCTATGCCTATTGCAACCCGCAATAAGCATCAAGTGCCGAAATTCCTTTGTTCTCGCGACCTTCAAAAACTTGGGAATGCATTTTCGACGCCAAAATCGCGTAAATTCACATAAATTCCACTTCACTGTTGATTATTGAGATTAATTGTCCCTTATTTCCATCAAAAATCAAGTTCATCAGGACCAAATGTCGATTTAAAACCGTAATATCCACCAGGGACCACAATTCCTTTGTTCTCAATAACATCAACAACTCTCAAGGGCATTTTCACCGATAAAATCACGCAAATTCCCCCGACCTTTACATCACTGTTAATTAATAATATTAATCCTCCTTTATTAACACCAAAAATCGTGTTCACTAGGTCTCTATGCCTATTACAAGCCGCAATAAGCATCAAGTGCCGAAATTCCTTTGTTCTCACGTCCTTCAAAGCTTGGGAATGCATTTTCGACGCGAAAATCACGTAAATTCCATCAAATTCCACTTCACTGTCAATTAGCAATATTCATTGTCACTTTTTACCGCCGAAAATAATGTTCACTGGGTCCCTTTACCCGTTTAAACCTGCGATATGCACCGAGCGCCACAGTTTCTTTGTTCATTCGCTTCTCAACAACTCGCGACTGCGCTCTCACCCCTGACGCGGCAGCGAACAGCAACAATGGCGCTGCAGTCGCAAAATGTCGCTCGCCGTGTGAAACAAATGTTTATGTTCCGAAAATGTGGTTTTAAAAATACGTTTTTTAGTTGAAGTACAGCGTAAATAATTTCTCAATGTCATACAAGTACATCTGCATGACCTGGAATATATAATATCGATAAATCGGGGTTTATTAATCCAAAAACGTAGTTGATATTTTGGGGTTAATTCTGGTGGATGAAGTAGTTTTTGCAATGATTATAAATTATTTTAAAAACGAGATGTTGTTGAGGTACTGTCAGTATGCAGCGCGGAGCCAGCCGAGGTATTTTTTCACAAGTGCTATCAGGAATTCATTCACGAGGAGAAAATCAGAGGCGGAATTGGCGTCCGAGAAAAAACGGGAGACGGTGCATTATTTCACCGCAATTGGGTTGTTAACTCTCGGTCTGGCTTATGCTGCTGTTCCTCTGTACAGATTATTCTGTCAGGTAATTATGGCATGTCACATAACAATTCATAACTCGAGAATAAATTCATCAATTGAGGTCAATCTGGACTAATTACAAAGAGGAGGAATTGTACTTTACGAGGAAAATATTCCTTTTCATCAACATTTTTATCATTGATGTTCAAATTACTAAAAAAATTAAGTGATGTATTTTTTTGGAAAGTGATGTAAAATTAACCCTCTTAAATCATTAATATCTCCTGATCAAATGACCAAATTTAGATAAATCAAGTCTCATTTTAAAGTTTAAAAGATCCTCTCGAAATGAAAAAAAAATCTTCGAATTTTACTCTGCCAATCACGAGTTACCCACCTCTGCACATAAATTTTTTATCATAAACTCATGTTTTGTCGTCATCATTGTACTGTAATTAGATAACTGAATTGATCAGATACTTATTCATTAACTGATGCACGCTGCCTAAGAATTAACGTGTCATCAATGCAATGAATTCAGGCGACGAGTTATGGTGGCACCGTCAGCACTCACAGCGGAGGGGGCGTCGACAATATGAAGCCAGTGAAGGACAGAATCATAAAAGTCCATTTCAACGCCGACACTGGGGCAGCTATGCTCTGGAACTTCCATCCCCAACAGAGAAATATCAAAGTGGCTCCTGGTGAAACAGCCCTGGCCTTTTACACAGCCACAAACCCATCCGACAAGGCTGTCATTGGAATTTCTACGTACAACGTAGTTCCTTTCGAGGCTGGACAGTACTTTAATAAAATCCAGTGTTTCTGTTTTGAGGAACAGCAGTTGAATCCCCATGAAGAGGTAAGAAAGTGCATTAAGGCATCAATTAGAAAAATAACACGATTTGGCTATATTTTTTAATTGATGAAAATGCCTGAAAATCGTAAATTTCAGTCATTTTTACACACCTTCGAACATTTTCGTAAATATCTCTGATTTATTTGACAAAGAAATTTCCCTTGGATAAATGCTCTGTCGTATTGATAAAAATAAGAAAGCAAAAAAAATTCTAAAAATAAAAAACTGATAATTTTCTACTCATTAATCTATTCAGCATTCAATTTTTGTTTTTACTCATGGTTTTTTATTTTATTTTCATGAGTACCAGATGAAAAAAAGAATACAAAATGAATGATAAATCAAATAGAATTCGGTGATTAATAAGAAAAACTCAATAATTTCTTTTTACATTATTTATTTTTTATTGATCTATTTATGGATTTATTTTTATTACCTTCAATTTCTCTTCGTAACTGGCAGTATTAACAAGATTACCTCATAAATTATTGAAGGTTGACATGCCAGTATTCTTCTACATCGATCCAGAATACGCTGAGGACCCTAGACTAGAGAATTGCGACGACATCACCCTTTCCTACACGTTCTTCGAGGCTAAAAGAGGACTAGATTTGCCTGTACCAAGCTATATTAAGAAGCACATTACCCAGGGCAATTAGTCAGTGTCTAGGCAGAAATTGTACAGAAGATTATCAATTAAATATTAAATTCTAATTTAATTCAATTGAGTTATTAATTGCGTTTTCCCTGGACCTAACTTTGTTTTATGTGTTTAATTTATTTTTTGGTGATTTTTAGATCATTTTTAGGAGAATTTGAATGAAATATCAATGCATTTTGTTACTGAACAACTAATAAATAAATATCAAGAGCACTCAATTCAAATTCGGAGTCCAATTCGAATTGATGATTAAAATCTTTGAAAATAGGAAATTTGATTCATATTGAAGCCTTGCATTTGTTAAATGTTTAAAATCCATTTTTTTAAATCCAGTCGAGTTATTAATTCCACTTTCTCTAGATCTAACTCCTTTCTATGCGTTGAATTTCTTTTTCGGTGGTTTTTAAAATCTGAATAGGGCATTTACTGGGTAGGCTCGTCTCAAACCACAGACTTTCTCCTTATCGATGTACATGGCATCGATTTTCAGGGACAGATCGTGTTCCAAACCGTTTCTCGTTCGCAGGAGCCTCTGGTGCTGGCACTCAAGCTCTTTCAACATCTTGTGCATCTTCTCCACTTGATGGTTTATGTCCTCAATCTCCTTCTGGAGGCTCACATGGGCATAATCGCGACATAACTCTAGCTCTGGACGGTGCATCCTGGCTTCCAGACGTGTGTGGGCGACTTTCAGGGCGTAACTCTTGTCGGCTATTGATTTTCTCATTATTTCGAGATTCTTCTCGACGTCGAAGATCTCTTGTTGGACCTGGGGAGATATATTCATGTAATATTCATGTAATTTTTCAACAGCCTGACGAAGCTAAAACAGTGCTGTCAGAAATTATTTGAAATTTAAGCAATAATTGCGTTTAAATTCTCAATACTGGGAATTTGAATTCAAGTTAAAATCAAATTTGTTCACAGCTGTTTTCTTTAATTCTTTAATTCCCCATGATGTTTAATTTGAATTTATAAAAATGGAGATGAATATGAACATTAATTCATGGAATATTTGGGAATGATTAGAGTGTTACCTTGTGGAGATGCTGCTGGAGTTGATTCTTAGCCTCCAACAACTCTGAACTTCGTCGAGACAATGCATTATTCGTACTCGTCCAGGTCTCCCACATTTCTCGAGACACTCTGTTCACCAGGGCCTCGGCCTCCGCACGTAACTGAACGGATTTTGCTCGTTCGCTCTGGGATTTCTGGACTATCCTGTTAGCTGCGTCTGCCCAAGTCTCTTGCTCTGAAACACTTGCACGTTTTTTCCAGTTTTAAAGATTAAAACTCGAGAGTTTAGTTCACAAAGTTCATTAGAAATATTTATTGATTACCATGGATCGTATTTTTCAATTCCAGCGTAGTACTGTATACCATGACTGTAATTGTTCAATTGATGGCACACTGTGTCTATTCCGAGAGCACTCTGTTTATTCTTGAGATCCAACTCAAGTTGATTTTGCGATGCTCGACAGTTTCTCAACTAAAAAATGATTGATTCGGTTAATCCAAAGAACTCAAACCATTTAAACACTTCCATAAATTAATAAAGTAACAAAATCAATTGATGTTTGGATAATCAATTTTTCAAATCTCTTCATCAGACCCAGAGAAATGATTTTTTTTAAATAAATAAACTTATTTGAATCAAATAAATGACCTTAAATTTGCTTTTTCGTTCGTTTTTATTCGCATCATTTTTTTGAAACTTGAAAAAATGTTTCCTTAATCAAAATGAAGACTTTATTAGTTCGAAAAGAAATAATTAGATAACGATGAGAACAAATATACTTTGCAATGCAATATTTTTTTATTTGGGTTAGTAAAAGAATCAAAAGTTAATTTTCATAATTTATCTGCACAAACCTGATCTTTGCACCTCTCCAGACAACCCTCGAGTCTCTTCTGATTGCTCTTGAGGTTCGAAACCTCGTACAGGAGGCACTTCTCCGAGTCATCGTGCACCAGTTCAGTGCTCTTCCTCGCTTCTCGATGGTAAAGGCACTCTTCAGCTATATGAAGTGGCCCCTCAATGTCCTGAACAGCTTTCTCCAGGACACTCCTGCAATCCTGGAGTCTCTCGCACTCCTGAATCAGTCTCTCCAACTCTGCAGCGACTTCGTTCCTCCAGAATGTTACGTCTGTTATTCGTTCGCCCAGTCTCCTTCCTGTCTCGTGTTGGGTAATCTGGATCTTTTCCTCTGCCGCCCTGGATATCGTAATAATTTTTTTAAAGGAATTAAAGGAGATTAGCGAATTTTAATAGAGGAGAGATGAACCCGGAATTAACTTCCTGATGTTATTTGTGCCACGAAAATTTTTTTGAGGCAAGAATTTGAATGAACATGTTTTGTAGACATTTTTGGGCATTTTGTTTTCTCAAATATATTTGTTTGGCATAAATCAACTTTTTTCTCAGTGCAAAAAAATTATATTTATGAATTCACAAAAATTTTACATCTCATATGGATTTAAAAAAAAAATTTAGGTGATAATGAATGTAATCACCGCATGATCTTGACAGCGTCATTCCGCATCCTCTCAGAGTAGTAAGTATTGGCGTCAGCATCGTTGTAGAATTTGATCTGCTTCTGGAACCACTCATTGGGAGTGTATCTCGTGTGCAGGGCAGACTGAGAGGCGTGCACAGGATTTCTTTGGTAACCTGTCACTAGATTTGGAAATTTCAGGGGCTCTGTCGACATCCCCGTGGCTGGGTCGACAGCGTATGTGGAGATGCATTTCTTCGATCTGCGTAAATGGGGATTTTATGAATTTATTAAGACATTGATCATCCCTTTAAATGAATTTTCAATTCATTTTATTCTTGGAAAACTAATTAATTTCATGATTCCAATTGGAATTGATGATTTGAATGTTTGAAAATAAAAAATTCAATTAATTATTGATTTATTATTGAAGCATTTATTAAATATTTAAAAAAAAATATTTTTTCACATTTTCAGCATAAATAACAAAATTAATGAATAATTGGAATTCAAGATTTAATTAATTATTGAAATGTTTGTATTTGTGAAAAATATGAAAAAATGTAATCTTTTGGGTTTTTAACATAAATAAAAAAATCCTGGATAATTTGATCTGAAAAATTGAAAATTAATTCTCAACTGTCAAATTAAATTCAACAAGTGAATTGTCAACTCAATAATTGAATAAAAATCCTTACAAAGGGACCAACTGGACATTCTCATAGCCAGCACTGGGTCGCCAAGGCATTAGTGTATGATTTTTATGATATTCGATTGATCTCACTGGAATTGCTGGCTCCAGACAGGGCATGGAGGACCCCACGTGGCTCCAAGGTTCGATTTGCTGAATAAAAAAGCCATTAAAATTAAATATTCCATCAAAATCTGTAAAATCTACCAATAAAAATCATTAATCCCTCGTCAAAACAACAATTCCATTTTTTAACTAAAATGTCCCTCTTCACTATATCCATCCGATAGAAAAACATTCTTCGACAGTTGAGGAAGGTCAAGGTTCACGAATGGCTGTCAGTGAGTCGATCGTCATGGCAGATGTCCCTACCGAAGCTCCAGAACGTACGTCAATTCCTCTATTTATTCCCTTGAAACTCCAAAATTAAAAAAAATGCAATTAGACAACAATTCCTAACGGTTTCCTCTCATTATTCAGTTCAAAATAATCATCATTCACATCGATAAACACTTGTTACGACTCTAATCATTCCCAAAGAGGTTATATTCCTTCGCAATCTCCATCAAATCACAAATGCTCCCACGACAGCCACATGCCCCCAAATCCAATGAAAAATTATTTAAAATATTCAGATTGTCCTGGGACTCAGAGTGAGTCTGCGGGGAAAGCTTCAGCATGTGCTGGCTGTCCGAACCAGAATATCTGTGCGTCCGGGGCCACAAAAGCCCCAGATCCAGGCATAGCTCTCGTGAAAGAGCGACTTGAATGTGTTAAACACAAAATTCTAATATTATCGGGAAAAGGTGGAGTTGGGAAGAGCACGATGACCTCGTTGCTCTCGAGGACACTGGCTGCAGACGACCCAGACAGAAACGTAAGGATTAGAGGATAGTGGGGTCAAATGGGTTGTCTGTTATCCCCAATTACTGCAGAACGTCAGAGTAAAATTCCCAGATTTTTATTTCCATTTTCAAGTTGTTTTTTTCATTTTTAGAATGAGACCTGATTCATTTAAATCGCACATTTGGTCGGGAGATATTAATTCATTCTGCCCCATGCTTTCATAGTCAAATTACCTGGGAATTGTTTTTATTAAGGATGTTTATCATTCTTTGAATGAGACCTGATTCATTTAAATCGCACTATATTCGGTCAAGAGATATTAATTTGTTCTGCTTCATGCTTTCCTATTCAGATTACCTGAGTATTTATTATTAAGGATATTTATCAATCTTTCAAAAAAAATTCTTTTCGTATTTCGAGAAATTTCTATTTTGTTTAGACTGATGAGGGAACGCAGCAATAAATATTTCGAATGATTAAGAAAAATTAGGTTCTGAAGCTTTGATGTAATAAAATAAATAATTATCATTTTTAAATAGCTAATTTCCTTGCTGGAAAACTCCAATGATAAAAATAAAAATAGAGGGCAATGTAAAAAAATGTACCGAATTGTCTATTCTCTATTCAATTTCTGATTCCGAAGATAAGATTAAAAATAGAGGGCAATGTGCAAAAATATACTGAATTGTCTAGTGTCTATTCAATTTCTGCAAAAAAAATCAAAAATTTTTTGAGTGCTTGCTTTTTTGAATGAACAGCTTTAACTCACCCGTTTTCCTAGTGCAAGCACATCAATGTGATCCTCGATGTACATTGTGTCATGTTAAGAACTGGGAGATACCCTCGTGGTACAGAATATCCTGGAATACCTCGGTATCTATAGCTATTTGTGTCGTGTCGGGCTGTACCAGGGCCCTATCGATTCCTCGAAATGCATTCCCAGAGGGTTTATGTAGTTGATAGACACTTACTGAATCGCAGGTAAACTCCGGAGCATAAGGATTCGGCTGGGGTTAATATTTTTGTGAGGGGTTATTGATTGCTTCTGTGTAATACATCACTGGGGGGTTTCTGTGTCGCAGGTCGCTGTTTTGGATATTGATATTTGTGGGCCTTCACAGCCGAGGGTCCTTGGGGTGCTCGGGGAACAGGTCCATCAGAGTGGCTCTGGGTGGTCACCGGTCGTAAGTCACATTGATTTCTTAGTTTTTATGAAATTTAACAAATTTGTTGACATCAGTTTTTTATGAATATCTTGGAATTTGAAAGCGACGAAAAAATGTTCAATTTTTTTTGTTAATTCTTCATTCATTCGCGTTCCAGATAACAAATTGAAGAGTCACAAGGGTCAGAAACCAAAATTTCCAAGAAATGATTGTCACAATTTTTTTTGTTTCATTTTTCACTTTTCATTTTCATTTCATACAGACTAGATTGAATAAATAGAGAGTATAATAATGAAATCAATAAAATGAACGGTTCAAAATAATACTCATGAAGGAAAGAATTATTTATATTACTTATATTTTAAAATTACTAGACTACTTAACTATCTTAATGTTTTAATAATATGAATACTCAAAATTTTTTATTTCTGTTTGGTTTTTGTCTAAAGAGAGCGACAGAAAGGTAGTCATCATCTCCCTTTAATTTTGAGATGTTCAGAAAAAAATAAGATCAGAAGATTGATTGACTTTAGGGTTTCACAAAACCCTAGAGGCATTCCAAGCCTCGAAATTCGAAATTCCACTCAAAGTATTCAATACAGGCCTTTTACCTCTCCAAGGGAAATAGAAATTTTTCGATTGTAAATAACTCGAGATCATGACATTGAAATCCAATGATTTTTCTTCATTTTCAAGGCATTTTTCGAGACTTTAAAATGAATTATTTCACCTCGTCCTCTCCTAATTCAACGTTTTTTACGTGGACCAATTTTCTCCTGACTTTCTTCGTCTTGTATGTTCTACAACAATTGTTATTATTTCAGTACATTGAAGATAATTTATCGTTAATGTCCATTGGATTCCTCCTGGCGAGTCCCAGTGACGCCGTCATATGGAGAGGACCAAAAAAGAACGGTAAATCCATGATTTTCGCCATTCAAACACTTCATCTTCTGTTTTTTTATAATTATTTCTCTCGCAGGAATGATTCGACAGTTTCTCTCAGAAGTAGACTGGGGAAACCTCGACTATCTTATCCTTGACACTCCCCCGGGCACCTCCGACGAGCATTTATCCGCCACAACGTATCTGAAGGGTGCAGGGATCACTGGAGCTGTTGTGATAACAACTCCCCAGGAAGTCGCGTTGTTGGACGTCCGGAAGGAAATTGATTTCTGCAGGAAAGTGAACATTCCCATCCTGGGCACCATCGAGAATATGAGTCTGTTCGTCTGTCCCAAGTGCAAAAACACTGCGGAGATATTTCCAGCGTTGACTGGTGGAGCTCGGAAAATGGCAAAAGATCTGGATATTGAGTTCTTGGGGGCTGTCCCTCTGGATCCACTGCTGGCGAGGTGCTGCGATGAGGGGAAGAATCCACTCACTGACATGCCTGAGTCACCAGCTGTCGCTGCTGTCAAAACAATTGTGACCAGTGGGTATTTTTAGTTTTTTAGGGGGCAAAATGGATCTCAAAGTATTTTTTCAAAAGTTGAAGAATGGCGGTTTAATTAATTTGATTCATTTGTTTTTTAATTGCAGGAATAGTCGAGAAGTGCGAAAAAAGTGGGGAGAATAACACGACTGCTGAGTAGTACGAGGAGTTTTATAATAATCAATGAAATGGACTATTTTTGTCGAAAATAAATATTGTATTATAATCAACATTTTTTTCTCCACGTGTTTAATTCTCCCATGCTCCTTAGTTTTAATAATCGATGATTAGTTATTACTATTAATTGTTAATTGTTTCTCCAAGTATTGTCTTCTTTTCATTTTCACCCAGGGCCAGGGTGTCAGATCTCGGATTTTTCCAGGGGGAAAGTCGACTTTCGCCAAAATCGAATTTTTTAACCAGGTGAAGGTTGATTCCAACTATTTCAGCGACGGGCTATTCAGAACTCTCAAAAGTACGTCGAAAAAGTGAAAACTGAAAAAAAATTTTTTTCACCCGGAGCCAAAGGGTCAGATCTCGGATTTTTCCAGGGGGAAAGTCGACTTTCGCCAAAATCGAATTTTTTAGCCGGGTGAACGTTGATTCCAACTATTTCAGCGACGGGCTATTCAGACCTCTCAAAAGTATGTGGAAAAAGTCAAAACTGAAAAAAAAATTTTTTTCACCCGGAGCCAAAGGGTCAGATCTTGGATTTTTTCAAGGGGAAAGTCGACTTTCGCCAAAATCGAATTTTTTAACCAGGTGAAGGTTGATTCCAACTATTTAAGCGACGGGCTATTCAGACCTCTCAAAAGTATGTGGAAAAAGTCAAAACTGAAAAAAAATTTTTTTCACCCGGAGCCAAAGGGTCAGATCTCGGATTTTTTCAGAGGGAAAGTCGGTCAAAGGGCCACAAGGGTCACGAGGGCCAAAGTGTCAGATCTGGGATTTTTCCAGGGGGAAAGTCGACTTTCGCCAAAATCGATTTTTTTAGCCGGGTGAACGTTGATTCCCACTATTTAAGCGACGGGCTATTCAGAACACTAAAAAGTATGTGGAAAAAATGAAAACTGAAAAAGTTTTTTTTTCCGATTTTCACAGGGTCAGATTTTCCGTTTTTCCCGGGGGAAAGTCGACTTTCGCCAAAATCGAATTTTTTAGCCGGGTGAACGTTGATTCCAACTATTTCAGCGACGGGCTATTCAGAACTCTCAAAAGTATGTGGAAAAAGTGAAAACTGAAAAAAAAAATTTTTCACCCGGAGCCAAAGGGTCAGATCTTGGATTTTTTCAAGGGGAAAGTCGACTTTCGCCAAAATCGAATTTTTTAACCAGGTGAAGGTTGATTCCAACTATTTAAGCGACGGGCTATTCAGACCTCTCAAAAGTATGTGGAAAAAGTCAAAACTGAAAAAAAATTTTTTTCACCCGGAGCCAAAGGGTCAGATCTCGGATTTTTTCAGGGGGAAAGTCGGTCAAAGGGCCACAAGGGTCACGAGGGCCAAAGTGTCAGATCTTGGATTTTTCCAGGGGGAAAGTCGACTTTCGCCAAAATCGATTTTTTTAGCCGGGTGAACGTTGATTCCCACTATTTAAGCGACGGGCTATTCAGAACACTAAAAAGTATGTGGAAAAAATGAAAACTGAAAAAGTTTTTTTTTCCGATTTTCACAGGGTCAGATTTTCCGTTTTTCCCGGGGGAAAGTCGACTTTCGCCAAAATCGAATTTTTTAGCCGGGTCAAGGTTGATTCCCACTATTTAAGCGACGGGCTATTCAGAACTCTCAAAAGTATGTGGAAAAAGTGAAAACTGAAAAAGTTTTTCTTTTCAGATTTTCAAAGGGTCAGATTTTCTATTTTTCGAGGGGGAAAGTCGACTTTCGCCAAAATCGATTTTTCCAGCCGGGTAAACGTTGATTTCAACTATTTAAGCGACGGGCTATTCAGAACTCTCAAAAGCATGTCGAAAAAGTGAAAACTAAAAAAAAAATTTTTTCACCCGGACCCAAAGGGTCAGATCTTAGATTTTTTCAGGGAGAAAGTCGACTTTTGCCAAAATCTAATTTTTTCACCGAGTGAACGTTGATTTTGTATTTTTCACGCATTTATTTAAATTTTTGGATATGTCCTATTCAAGAACTTTTTTTTGTACGTTTCCGAGGGGGTTGGTAATTTTTTAAGGGACTAAGACCGTCCTTAGAAACATACTCCAATAGAAATGGTTTCGTTTCCTATTTCAAGTTTCCAAGTTTCAGTGATTCTAAGTTTTTGAATTTCTTCTCACTGAAATATTAAAATCCCTGCAATACTAAAAAAATGTTTTCTAGCCGATTATGCCTTTCCGGTTCTCTAAAAATAAAATAAAAATTATCCACTTGAAAATGGATAGTTTTTATTCAATAATGAATATTTTGAGAATGGAATAATGTTGACTGATTCAAACACCGTTTGAAATGCACGCGCGTGAGTAGAGCAGCGGTCCTGGGCGTGCGCAGTCGCGCAGTCCAGCTATCGCAGTCGCACGTCTCGTGTGGTCTCGTGTTCCTTCGCGTCGTTCGAAATACGCCGGGTTTTCGATATTTCAGAACTAATTGTGAGATTTCCATCAACAATGATGAGTTTTATTAATCGAAGTAAATGATAATGAACTTGTAACAATGAAAAAGTGTGGAATTTTTGGCGAATGGCGTCGGTTTTGGTGTTTGTGTTTGGGTTTCGGAGTTTGTTGTGGGTATCCGGGGTTTACATTGCTCTGAACTGAGTACCGGTGCTTTCTTAATATCAACAATAAGTGGAATTGAAGAATCAAAATGTCGATGCACGGAGAACAATGAAGAACTGTGATTTTTTGTGCGATGGCGTCGGTTTTGCGTTTCTGGTCAAGTGTTGGGATTTGTTGTGTTTTTGAGTGTTTACGTCTCTCCGAACAGAGAACCAATGATCAATGAGTGAATTGATGAGAACTGAGAATTAATAATGAAGTTAATTAGTTGGATTCAAGTATTAATTGAGTTAGAACAGTGAAAAGGGAGAATTTTTGTGCAATGGCGTCGGTTTTGGCGTTTCTGGTCAAGTCTGAGAGTTGTTGTGTTCTGGAGAGTTTAGGTCTCTTCGAGCTGAGAACTGATGGATTGTTATCGTCAATAATCAAGTTAATTAGTTGGATTCACCGATAAATGCAATGAGAACAATGGAAAAAAGGGAATTTTTGTGTAATGGCGTCGGTTTTGGCGTTTTTGGTCAAGTTTTGGGATTTTTTCTTTTGGATTTCTATGTTCTTTTGAACTGAGAACTGATGGATTATTATCGTCAATAATCAAATTAATTAGTTGGATTTAAGTATTAATGAAGTGAAAAAAATGAAAAGTGTATTTGTAAGTGTTGATGTGAGTGATTTTATGTGAAGTTTTTTCCAAAAGTCAATAATAAGTGCAATATTTCAGAAAAATCTTCTATTTTCCTCAGAGAATCATAGTTTTTGCAGAGCCATAATTTAATTACCTTTCTCTATATTTTTACAAAGAATAAAAATTTCATTTTCAACTTCAAATTTTTATTTACGAACATGAATTCAGTTTGCATTGAGATAAATACTAGATTTTTTTGTAATTATTGAAATATCAAGTGATTAGAGTCAGTGTTATGTAGTGCAATCATCAGGATCATCATCTTCTCCGAGGAAATCTCTGCCCTCCAGACTCGTTGGTAAGTGATTCCTGCTTTTATCATCAAGTCTCACCAAATTCCGACCTGAGAACAAAATACATAAACAATTTATCGTAAAAAACGAACGAACACTGGATGATTTTTTATTTTATAATAACTCGCGTACCAACAGCAACTCGCAATTTCCTCTGTGAAGAAGTATCCCTAATGAACATTGGGACCGATGGCTGCGGCCCCTTATGATCCGCGATAACCCTTTGCACACGCCTGAGGGCTGAATCAACAGTTCTAGACTTGCTAGCTTTGCACAGATAACAGACACATTGTGCCAAGAGTACGTCACACTCTGGCATGCCGATCATTTGACAGCCATGCATTGTGTGGACAGCAGTATCTGAAGCACAAAAACCCATTAGTGCACTGTTGAAAATTTTCGTCTGAATTTTCGGAGCCAAATTCAGGAAATTTTTATCGTGTTCGAGTTCCACTGATTTTTCCGGAAATCTTATCATTGAAAAATCAAATATCCCATTGATTTTCTGTTCAAATACTCTGGAACTCAATGAAATACTTTAAGTAAATACTTTAAAGTTTAATTATTCTATGAAAATTCCAAAAAATCAGGAAAATTCAGGGAAAAATTGAAAATTTATGTCATTTTATTTTTGAATATTCATGTTTCACTAAAATGAATGAAAATTCAGAGTTGAATAAAATCTTCAGTTATTATTGTGTTCCTGAGGAGCATGAAGCCCAATAATAGATGAGTGGATGAATCCCCTCATAAAACAAATAAATTTCTTCAAATTCCCACTAACCCAACGCATCAGGATAATCAAGGCCCACATCCTCACTAGCAATTCTAATCAATCGTTTCCCAATGAACACTGGATCCTCTCCAGTAGCCATCAGCCTCGCCAGCCAATACAAAGCCCCATTAGCATGACTGTCCTTGATGCATCTGTGCATCGCAGCCACTAGATCCTGGTTCCTATCGCTCCTCCTCTCTGACAGCGAATAAGCTTTCTCTAAATTAGACTTCACATCATCTAGCCCAATTATCGGTGCTCCCTGGCTTCTCCCTCTAGATTTAATCGTCAATTCAAGACTACTCAGGGCAATTCTCGCATCTCCATCGCAGATATTTGCCAGCCACTCCATTGCCCCTCTTTCAATGACGAATTCCTGATCAGGATCTTCTCCTCCATCACTCGGGGTGATTCCACCCCCCAACGCTTCCACCCCCTTCTCTAGAATCTGTTGGATATCCTCTCGGGATAGTTTTTGCAGTGAGAAAACTCGACATCGACTCAGGAGTGCTGAGTTGAGACTGAATGAGGGGTTCTCCGTGGTTGCCCCGATGAGAATGAATGTTCCAGCCTCCACGTGGGGCAGGAAGATGTCCTGCTGGAGCTTGTTGAACCTGTGGATCTCATCCATGAAGACAATAGTCCTACGATTGCTCTTGGCTTCTGCCACTGCAGTGGCCACTGCTTGTCGAATATCAGCGATACCAGAGGATGTTGCTGACAGTTTGATGAATCTGGTGTCACTGGAGGTCTTGGTTTTCGTCATCTTTGCTATGATGTTGGCTAGGGATGTCTGTGAATGCAAATACATTAGGATGAAAATCAAGAAATGGGGATAACAAGTATTTTTTTGTGGGAGCGTTTTAGACAAAAGGTACAAGAAGTCACTGAATTTCACTGGATCTTGAGCTCCAGATGATTTTTTTGGTTTCAAAGGGACATGAGAAGGTTGAGTGGAATATATTTTATTTCACTGCCAATTCTACCTTTCCACAGACTGGGGGACCCCACAAAATCATAATACTAGTAACCATTATTTTTTTATGGGAAAGTTTTAGACAAAAAGTACGAGGAATGACTGAATTCCACTGGACCTTGAGTTCCTGATGATTTTTTTTTTGGTTTCAAAGGGACAGGAGAAGTTTGAGTGGAATATATTTTATTTCACTGCTCATTCTACCTTTCCACAGCCTGGAGGACCCCACAAAATCATGCTAGTAACCTCCTTCTTCTCCATCAACTGCCCCAGGACAGTCGAAGTCCCGACCACATGCCTCTGCCCAATGTAATCACTGAAATCAACAGGTCTGAGTCTCTCTGCCAGTGGCACGTGCCCCCTCACACCTGTCGCTTTTTTCTTATTCTCTCTATCACCTCGCAAGTTCGAAGCAAACATGGAAACTACTTTTGGTTTCGAACTCTCGTTGCTTTTCTGCTGTCTTCCAGAGCCCTGAGGTTTTGTGTCATCATCAGTATCAGGTGTTTCTTGGATTCTCAGCTTTTTGACATCTATTTTTTCACCATTTATGAATGGAAAGGTTCTTTTGCTGGAGGAGGTTGAGGCAGTCTGATCACTTTCATTGAATAAACATAAATCCACGTGAGTTTCAATCTCATCTGATGGAAATTTCTTTGAACAGACTGGACACTCCATATTTTTAATTGATATTATTCCACTGTTTTCACCATTACATTGTTTTTATGGGAACCGGCTGATTGCGCCAGTGACCGGCGCAGTGTCACAGAAACAAATCAGTATCTAACCTAAAACTCCTCCAAACAGTCCAACAAGTCAGTCTAACACTTCAAAACATCAAAGCCATGTGACAACACCCGAAATATTCTCTCCAAAAAACGTTCACACAGCGAAAATGGAGTCGATGTCAGAGCAGCAGAGGTACCGAATCCAACAGGAGGAGTTTGTCTCGAACCATGGGGGCAGCTCACCCCTGGAGATACTCCTCCTGATGCTCCCAAACATCCTCGCCATCAGCCTCACCCATTTCGTCCTCCTGAAATACGGTAGAAAGCTACCCAGGAACATCCAAACGTTCGTCGAGTTCGTTCTGAATGTCGTACCCTGCGTCCTCTGCTGCACGATCCTCTCGGAGTACACGATACCAGTCTCCATGGTCATGCTGACGGCATCAGTACTTTTCTCCCAGAACATCCACCTGGCCCCCAAGACCATCCGCACGGAGAGGTCCACGAAGAGGATACCGTTCCTGACGCACTTTCGAGCTCTCACCAACATCATCACTGCTATTTGCATCCTGGGGGTGGACTTCAGGGTCTTCCCCAGGAAATTTGCCAAGACCGAGGTGTACGGGTACAGTCTCATGGACACTGGGGTTGGCCTCTTCGTCATGGCGAATGCTCTAGTGGCCCCTGAGGCCAGAGACTTCCTGGATATCCCCAGAACGAATCTGATGAGGAGGTTCTCGGAGAACGCTAGGGTCTGCATCAGGGGGTCGGCCCCTCTCTTGGTCCTGGGCTTCGGGAGGTTCCTGGCTGTTGAGTACTCTGGGTATCAGAAGCACGTGTCTGAGTACGGGGTACACTGGAACTTCTTCGTCACCTTGGCCTTCGTCAAGATCTTCACGAGCACCATATCGAGCGCCATCAGCTCTAAATTCGCGGGGCTGACTGGACTCTGGATTATCGGGATGCATGAGTACGCGCTGAGCACGAATGGACTGAAGGAGTGGGTCCTTGGGAACACCCCGAGGGTGGATTTTGTCTCGGCAAATCGAGAGGGACTGGTGTCTGTTCCTGGTTACGTGGGGCTTTATCTCATTGGCATTGCTGTGGGGAGGGTCGTGCATATGACGTTCAACTCCGCCAGGCGGCACGCCTTGGTGACGAGGTTCAAGGTTCATGGGGTGGAGTTTGTGTGCAGCAAGTTTCATCTGATTTTGGTCAGCAAGCTGCTGATTATGGCCTGCATGAGCTGGGGGGTTACTTTCTTCTGTGACTCGAGGTTTGGGGTCTCGAGGAGACTTACTAATGCTGGGTACTGCTTCTGGATCGTGGCCCTCAGTACCACTGTGCTTGATGGACTACTGCTGGTGGATATTCAGATGGATATCGTCAGGCAGATCGTGGGTGGGAAGAAGAGGAGCAGCAGGAGTGAGAGCAAACGAGTTACGTTTGAGGATGGGGACTCCGAGGGGGAGGTTGTGAGGATCACACCGGAGATTTTTGAGGCTGTTAATTATAATGGACTGGTGTTCTTTCTTCTTGCTAATCTGGTGACTGGGGTGGTTAATATGAGTATGCGGACTCTTTATGTGGAGGGGCTTCAGGCACTTCAGGTTATTATCGCTTATATTGCGACGGTTATCGGGGTCTCGGTGATCCTTTACAGGCGTAAAATTCAAGTGAAGCTGTAATTAGGGGAACAAGTACTTGATTTTTCAAAAGTTTGAGTGTTTTATTAAGTCGTGTGGATTCAAGAGATATGTACAGTTTTCGATAGGAAAGTAATGAGTGTTCAGTTTGAATGAGATGAAGATTCAATTGAGTGTTAAAAAATATCTGGGTTAATCAAGTCCAATTAAATGAAGCCCAATTAAATTTTTTCATTAGGGGAACAATGTATTGAATCTTTAAAAGTCCCAACATTTTATTGATTCGTGTGGATTGAAGAGATATGTACAGTTTTCCATAGGAAAATAATTATTCAGATGTAACTGTAATTGAGATACATTTGAGCAGTGGAATGGAATGATTTTTCTCCTTCTTTCTGAGTATCTAAAAATATCTGGATAAATGGTAACTAGAGAGAACTTTAGTGCGAAAAACAACTCTTCGCATTATCTTCATAATTCCTCTCTCGATGTGCCATGGATATCTTCGCGTGACTCTATCCTCTTTGACTTTCTATTAACAAATTCCTGAAAGTCTCGGTGGTTATTTACGTGCTCCGCCGCAAGCGATACGATCCTCACGAACTCGTCAGTGTCAAAACTGTAGTTTGTGAATTTGGCATGTGCACCGCCGTCCGGATGAGTTCCCTTAGATAAAGAATATATTTTGCATTTTAGATTTTTCGTCAGGGTGAGCTAAGAATGAGGAGAGAAATGAAGGGATAATTGATGGGTTCGAGGGCACTTACAGGGTCTTGTTGTATTAATTTTTCACCGTCTTCCCATGTGAAGTATTTTACACCTCGCAATCTGGCGAGATCTTTGTAGCAACCAGCGTCTTCACAATTGTACCTAAATGTATAAACAAATTGTTAGGATGAAGTAATAAGTAGTTTTCTGTTGATTAAGTGGAGGGATTGATCGTCCAGCGATTGAACAAATGATAGTTGATAATAATTCCAAAGAAATCATTACATTCCATGTAATTAATCATTTCTTCTAGTCTACAATGAGAGAAAAAACGAACATGTTCTCAAACAAGTCTTGCTTGCAACGAGGATATTTTTTTTTTAAATTATTAAATCTATTTTTGCGAGAACAATTTTCCATCTCAGGACAGCCTTCAAATAGTCAGCACTAGATTTTATTTTTTTGTAGTTTTCAACTGGCGATTTTTTTGGTTCAAACCAGGGATCGACTTCAATCATTAGTTTTAGGAATATTTGGATTAAAATTTATAAAATAATTGATAATTTCAATTATCAATTGACCACGAATTAAATAGTTGAAATATAGGATTGTAAATGTTATAATTGAAAATATGGGATTTCAAATTGACTATTGGGCAAAATATTTCTAAATTTTTTAAAAAGGTTTTTCGATTAACCAAATAATCGTCAATCCTCCGAACTCAATGATTGATTGATGAAATAATTCGGAATTTGGATATTCAACTGGTAATTAATTCAATAATTTAAAATTGATGAGTATTATTAGCTATTGACTTCTTCAAAATTTAACTTTATTTAAAATTTATGATTCTGTCTATATCTGCTTCACACAAGACTTGTTTAAGAGTTTTTTGACTCTCAGAGTAGAATAAATAAAAGTGGTTTGATCACTGGACGATTTGTCTTCTAGAAAAAACGTACAATTCAAATACAGCAGCCCAATCAGGTAGAAACATAGCGTGGGTCAACCCAGCGCCATGAATTCCGATGAACACATCAGTGTTTCGGGTAATATCAAGTTGTTTCTTGAAAGACACATCTTTGTTGTATATCACCTGAACGAACAAAAAATAAAATTTAAGGATTTCAGTAATTCAGAGGATTTTATTTGAAGAAGTTTTTTAACTGTACCTTCCTGACGCTGTACTCAGGATTTTTCTTCAGGGCCTCGACCAATTCGTCCTCATTGAGAATCCTTCGGTATCTAGTGTCTCTACTAAGCAATGTAACTCGAACTTTTTTATTTTTCCTCTCACGAAGTGGTATATTGAGTCTGTGGAGTATGTGCTCACTGAATGCTTTGAATAGACCACTTTTTTCACAGCCATAAATCTGCGAAAACATGAGTTAGAATATCGTAAAAAGATTGTAGAAATTTCTCTTCATTTCAGGAGAGTGATATTTAATTTAATTTATACGGGAAAAAATTATGAAATTTCAGATTTCACTGAAAATTCTATGGAATTACACAGGAAGACGAGAATTCCCAAACATACTTGAGTTTTTAATAAAAACATGAATATTTATGAATTTTCATGGAATAAAAAACTAGAATTTACAGTTTCCACTGATTTTTTCGTGAAATTTTGAATTTTGAATTATGAAATTCCTCTAAATTCCAGTAGAACTATAATGCGATAAAAAATTTCAAGAAGTGTATCAGAAATTTCAGTCGAAAATTTTCAACATTCTATATTCAGCTTCGAAAAAAGTAAAAAATCTCTCCTGAAATTTAGATCACAATTTGATCTCTCAACATGTAAATAAAATAGTTACCAACGGAGTATTATAATAAAGTCCGAATATCATCCTCGGCAACAGCGGGAATACGATATTCTTGAAGCAAACCGTCTGCCCGCGAAACGTCTTCAGATCCCACAGGGGATTCTTCGTGAAAGCCTCGAAGGCATCTTGAAACGCTGATCGATAGCTTCAAGACAAACCGATACACATGAATACAAATTCAATGCAACTAAAATAACTCGTTGATACTCACCTATAACTTTCCCAGATCATTATATGATTGTCCGTGCTGAATGCCGTTGGGTGAGACAGATTAACGTGTAGTGAAGCGTAGAGATTGAAAAAGTCACAGAAGTGGTGGTACAAATTTACTGCTGCAACATAGGTGTTGCTGTCAAGTTTGAAAAAAATTATTTAAATGACCATGATATTATTAATAGCAGAGTAATTTTATGGTAGAAATTCACTCACTCGCGTCTATTTTCATGAGGAAAGTCGGCTTTTCTATGACAGTGTCACAGTCACCGTCGACTATTGGCCGGCGCTTTAACTTTCGAAAGTTTCGGAGCTCGGGGCCCCACGACTGCAGTGCACTTATGTGATCCGCGTTGTCTTCTAGTCTTTTCTTATTGAGCCTTGAATAATTGAATGTTATTTGCGGGTTTTCACATTGAGACACAAATTTATTCATGCCAAATAAATTTGTGCTCATTATTTTTGTCTTTCTCTCTTTTAATTTAGTAAAAATGTTGGAATGTTCCACTATGGGAATTGAATTTTTATTTGTTGTCGTCAAAAATGCATTTTAAGATCAATATTTGTTTGAAATGAGAATTGAAAGGCAGATCTTGTGAGGAAATTTCGATTTGTTCGGCATGAATAAAGTTTTGGGGTGGGTTTTACATTTTAATGCGCAATATTCCAGCCTAAGACTCACGTGCAGTAGCCGCCAATCTCTCCCTCCTTCAACACATCCATTTTATATCTAATTGGTTCTGTTCTGTGCACTAAATTAGTGAAGTTGATCATGATGTTTCTGCCCCGACAGAATCTCAGGTGCTCCGAGCATTCCAACGATGAATCATCCTTTTGATTATAAGCGTGACGCAATTTGACATAAATTAAAACACTTTTGCTCATTTATTCAGTACTGAAGCGGGTCAAGTCAGAGAATTTAGTGTAGACTATTGTGAGAATATTTTGGACATAATTTGGTTTTCGCACATTTTTTAAATGAGCATTCGAAATTTTCTGCCTGATGTTTCGCTACGGAATTTTTCATTTCTGAACGGAACTTACTATGAAGAGAGGCTCACAGACTAGCTTCATCTCTCTGCGCTGGTCCCTCACGTAGCCAAAATCACCCTGGGCGTAGAATGTTTCCACTTGTGCCCCTTTCGTTGCTACCCAGCCCTTGTGGTCTCCGGGACAGTGGGGAATTGAAAATGCGTTATCTGGTTTACAGTTATCTTCGTACCCCCAACAACTTCCCTCGATCAATTGATCCTGAATAGTAAAAATTATTATTCCACAATGCAGTGAATTAGAATTCAGTAGCGAAGTGGTAAAACGGTTCAAGTCGACTTATCTCCCAGTTGAGTTTTCAAGGAATATTTCGGAATCTACGGGAGATAGCGAAATTTTGGTAATTGCATTTGTTGTAGCTCTCAACCGGCTGTACAGAAAAGGTTATAACAAAAATTTAGCCATCTCCCTTAGATTCCGAAATATTCATTGAAAACTAGTCAATAGTCAAAATTGACTTGTACCACTTTACCACTTCGCTACTGAATTAGTCAATTCCCCTCTAGAAATGACAAATTTACGCGGAAAGAACTCTATTTCTCAAAGTTTCCTCGATTCCCTAATACTTTATCTGCAAATGCAACTGACTCATTCTATTTAAACATTCGATTACCAACTATTATTGCAAATTAATTAATTAATGTATTTCCCTTCATACAAGAAAAAAAATACATTATTTTTTCTATGTTTAAAGACGAAAAAGAGTCATTAATCTTTGGGTCATCAATATGAGAAAAAATAATTAAATCTGCAACGAATCAAATCGAATTGAATTGAATTGAATGAATTCTGAAGACAAAAACGACATAACACGCAATCGAAAAAAAAAGTAAATACCATCTTTAGTTTAGAAAATTCTCCATCGATCTATCAAACTCCGAGCGAATGCCGAAAAAAAATTTCGAAATATAGCATCACCATACCTTATAAGGACAGTCAGGATCCTCCCGGCATTCCCGAGCTCTCGCCGGAAATGAGTTGAAATAGTACTTGAGATGTTTCGGTGGCAAATCAATCGCCGAATAATTAAACATCCCCTCAACAGTGAGAAAAATCCCCAACACGAGGACGATTATTCCCGAGTAATTCCTCATGCTGCGATCAATCACTGGAATAATATGGATATGTAACTCAGACCGGAAGAATATTATACTTGGCTCGTTAAACTTGCTCGGTGCGAAGGAATGGAGTGACTGAGCGCGGGTGAGCGTGGAAAAATCACCTGAAGGTACAGGTGGGTGTATGACCTCAGTTACCAGTAGCGCCGGATGAATACTGTGTCTTTCACTTGGTTTAAAGTTTAACTATCGCGATCAATGTTGGGTGAGGAGAGGGCAGGGGAGAGACGGGCGGGGGGGATGGAGGGTTTAGGAGAAGGATGCAGGGAGCAATATGAAATGAAGGAGGAGAGTTGCACGTGAGGTGGTTACAGGAATTCACTGGCTTGCCTTGAAATAACATGGAATTGATGGCACAGGAAATAAAATGCGGGGATGGTGTATTATTATTCCACGTTATCCATAATTTATGATAGTATTCCCGCTATTTCTCAGCTCATTGACTGGTTTACCAACTCAACTCATCATTAAACACGATATTTAGTACTTAATTAATGCACTCACGTGATTGAGACACTGCAAGGTGTGATGCTGTGAGTTATTCCAACTTTTAAGGAAAATGTTGGAACTCGTTCTACCACCATCTGGAAATTTTCACTCTCGGCTGATCGCACCACTTGCACTCTCTACGTCCGCGATTCGATCAGCTGTATCGGGGTTTTTTTTTGGTCTTGACGTCTGGGCGATACTGCGGGGAGGAAACTGTACACGTGGGGACGCGAAGAATGGCGCATGTGGGATTTTTTTTTGAATATTGTGGCGGGGCACCGACGGTTGGGAATTCATCTGTCGATGGTGAAGCTATTATCGTCTGTTAATTCCTCATCATTTGTTGATAGGGTGATATCTTTTTTATCGACTGTTGGAAATTTTTTAATCGATTGGGGATCGATTCAATGTCTGGGATGAAGTTATTGATTTTCTTAATAACGTCAGTAAGAAATGTCGAAATGAAAAATTTTCATTTTCACCTGGATCGAGGGTCAGATCTTGGATTTTGTCAAAGGGAAAGTCGACTTTCGCTAAAATCGATGGTTTTCCCCAAGTGAATGTTGGTTCTGTATTTTTTCAACGCGGTATTCGTATTTTTAGATATTTCATGTTTAAGAACTCTTTTGTGTGTAAAAATTGGAAAAAAAAGTTTTCACTCCTTTACGACCCTCAAGTACGTAGCCGAGAGGGTTGCTAATTTTTTAGGGAATTGGAGGAGTCTCTAGACAATCGACTTTCGCCAAAATCGAATTGTTTCACCAAGTGAATATTGTTTCTGCATTTATTCAGCCTTTAGATGCCAATGAAATCCTCGCAGGCAACAGAAAAGTCGAAAACAATTTTTCTTCATTTTCGCTTCAAATTCTGTGTGAAAGTGAACTCAAATTTAATATTAACTTTGAATTCTGCTATTTTCGTCTGCTAGGTGTACATACGTTTTTTTTCGTTTATAAACCCCTCGTTCTCTTCATCTATCAGAGATGATTTTAATTTTGATGTTAATCACGATGCAGTGAGTGTCATTGAACCAATCAACGTTAACGCTTCTTCATCGATTAATGATTCATTAACAATTGTTGATGAAATGCTATCTTTCTCACCGACTGTTGACACAGAAATTGTTGATCGATGATCGATTAAATCTCTGGGAATTAACTATTTATTTTATCGTTTTTTGTTATGAAGTGTAATGAAAAAACGTGAAGAGCCTTAGTTCAGTATTTTTTAATGAAATAATTTCTTTTAAAATAAATCCTCGTTCTCTTCATCAATTAAAGATGATTTTAAATCTGACATTGATCATGACACAGTGATTGTCATTGCATCACAGAGGATTATCGTCATACGTCAATATAAAATGATAACTTCCGTACAAGAAGGAACGGATAACAAGTACCCAAGTACCGATAGAATCCACCTAGTATTTAAATCCCACACCATAAAAGCCGGATTCACCTCGGAAAGGGATCAAGTGTGAATCATGCATCATTTGCCCGTCATTCCCCCTGAATTTATATATTTATTCGTCATTCTAAACTTTCAAACTGAACACACCAGGGAAGAGCAATATTATGATCGGCATCGAAACATCTCGGTGAATCACGATCTATCACAAATCAATGTTAATCGATTCAGTGCTGGGGTAAGAGATCGACAATCGAGACAATGGATCGATACCAGGAGGGGGAGGGGAGGAGGAGGAGGTTCATATAGCACCGTTGGCGTCAACCTGCCATGGCGTGACCCGGAAATACGAAACGAAAGAGAGAAAAGTAACGGTGGGTAACAAACACACCGGTATATATACCAAGTTGAAATCGGTTCGATAGATCGGTGGAACAATCTACATCGATCACGATCGCATCACCCTCGTTTTACCCACGAAACCCGGGACTATGCTGCGATAGGAAACGGTACTCTTGAAAGGAAAAACGTATTTTGCACCTTACGGGTGGCGGAAAAATTAGCTTCAAATGAAAAATTTCATTTTCGATCGAAAAATTTAGGCTGTGACGATTCGCACCATTGCGTGAGTCACTCCCGTACACTCCATACACTCCACGCATGGGTGAAGTTTGTGTGTTTCACGCAGCCGAATTTTCATACTGCTGTGTATTTCACGCAGTTGAAGTTTTATACTACTGTGTGTTTCACGCAGTTGTATTTTTATACACCTGTGT